CTGTTAATACACCGCGACACATCGCTCGTTATCTACCTGTCTCTCATAGGTATCGTCACCACAGAGGCAGCGCGCTACAGTTCAGTATCACCTGTTAATACACCGCGACACATCGCTCGTTATCTACCTGTCTCTCATAGAGATGTCACCACAGAGGCAGCGCGCTACAGTTCAGTATCACCTGTTAACATGTGTGACATCGCTCGTTATCTACCTGCCTCTCATAGACATCGCATCAAACATCTTGCCATATCATTACATATCATCACATATTAACATATTTACTACGTTATATAACATACGCTGATATGTGATATTATATATAATATATGATATTAATGATCAGATCATCACATAATATCAAGATAATATGTTGTTATACGTGAATCACATATTACTACATGTTACATCGCACATTGTCTACCTGCCTGCCAGAGATATCGTATCAAAACCAACTCATCACACATACTAATACGTGATATCACGTATCACAATGTGTGATATCGTTCGCTATCTACTCGCCTCATAGAGATATATCGTATCAAACACCTTGACATATCATTACACATCATTACATATCATCACATATTTACATATTTAATATGTTATATTAGATATATGTTATATAACATATGTTATATAACATATGTTATATAACATATGTTATATAACATATGTTATATAACATCAATATATCAGATCATCAAATGTTGTTATACGTGATATTACATATTAAAATTCATAAAATCGCTCCTCATCTACCTGCCTCCCAGAGATATCGTGTCAAACATAACTCATTATCTACCGCTAATAACGACACCGTACCTGACTTTACATGCAGGGATATCCATAGTCCAATCACAGACTTAAAGTGATTACGTCACCGTAAATAATAAAAATGTTCACTTATTATGGTTAAATTGCTGCATTATACTTCCTATTTTACTATATTGTTCGATGTGAACATACACTCGTGACTCATACATGGCCCATAGCAAGCAATTAATGTCAGGAACATGATATCAAATCGTCCAGGTTTTTTGGATTTTTAACTAGTTGAGAAACAATCTTATCAGGTAAGAATTTGACGATACGTTTAGTCCCGTTAGTTCTTACTTTTAATGTAAAAAAATGGCTGTAATACATTTAATTTTACAAATATACACCATAGAAAATTCGTGACGTAGTTAATTTAATTGAAGTTATCACATGTGGATATCTACTACCTACGATGATGACATAACGTAAAACGATGAAATCGAAAAAACGTAGACATGATACCGCATGTCGTCTACCTGCCTCTGATTGGCCGCAAACGTCGCTATCGCTACTTAGCCATCGCACACTCTGATTGGCCGCTATCTAGCCGTCGTGCGCTCTGATTGGCCGCTATCTAGCCGTCGTGCGCTCTGATTGGCCGCTATCTAGC